AACTTTTTAAATGAACGATAGCTTCATTTATTTATTTAATAATAGTAAAATAATTCCGAAATTGAAATTTTAATTAATATTTCGTTTAACAATAATTTTTGTGACATTTTTGTAAATTAAAAAAAATTAAGTATAAAAGATGCATTTTTTCTGGGGTCAGGGCTATTCTACAAATTCGTAAATATGCCCATTCTTATTTTTTCATCGGGCTACCCCGGTTTAAAATAAAAAAACGATGAATAGAAGCCGAGATATTGCAAAATTTTACAGCGCGCATCAATTTGAACTTTGGATTTGTTTTCTTGCGCGCGCGACTCTCTTGGACAAGCTTCCCCCACCAACACGCTGCCAGCCGCCAGACAGTTTACTTAGCGAGTACCTTCTCTTTAAAGGGCTCATGAGTCGTTAATTTTCCACATTTTTCAATGCAATTCACGGGAAATCGTAGTTTACTTCATAAACTTTATTTTGCGAAAAATTCAAGTCTTAATGTTTATAAACAATTGCGCTACGATATTTTCAAAAAAAATTCTTATTGTGCAAAAACTATTGCACCTACAGCGCCCACTTTTGGCACACTTTTAAAGTATGACAAAACCCTCAACTTGTCATAGGTTTTATAAAATTTTAACAATAAATGCGATAGTTATAAACAAATTAAAAAATGGGCACTTTTCCTGTTTTTTTGCAATAACTTTTTTGTTTATTAACCGATTTTAATTTAACAAGTCTCATTTTGTAGATAATTTTACTCCCTTCAAGCTGTCTGAGAATCACTTTTCGCTAAAATTGATGGTTTTCCCTGCAAAGTGAAAAAACTGTTTTCCGCACTTATTTGTTTAAAGAGAAAAGTCAACTAATAAAATTTTTTGACCTACGAGATGAGAGATGTCTTGTATTATGTTCCTTTAGACAATTTTACAATAATCTCGCGGATAGGATCTTTTTCAAGTAAAAATTTAATTTGCTTGGCCTACATGTCAACAGAAAATTTAACGAAAATGTCGACTTTTTTAGAAAAGCATATTTTATTCTCACCGTTATATTCGACCCTCAACGTCTGGTCCTTATACATCTTCACCATCGGTCTATCTTGACACTCGAGGTACTTCTTGATAAAGCCCCTGGAGTCAACCAGAACGTCCTCCCAGACGTTCGTGCTCACCTCCATCACCAAGTGTACGCTGCTGAAACTGACGTACTGGGAATAGCCGATGTCGAAAAATATTAAGTACCTGTAGAAGAAAATTATCGAAAAACGTTCTTTCGAGACTACGCGACGTTTTCAACTTACCGGTACCTGTTCCCCTCGACAGGTTGCTCTGCCACGATACCGGGATAGAACGGGTCGTGCCTCGGCTTTTTAGCCTCGCCCAGTTCTTTAAAAACGGAAATCACTCTCGTGCCGACCGGCAGCCGCACCTTGCTGAAAGTCATGTAGGCCATATTCTTGCCCGTTAGCAGTCGTTCCTTCTGTTGCTTGAGCTCGATCAGCCTGTAGTGCGTCGTGTCGTAAGCCTGACCGTTGTAGGTGGAACCGGCGGGTATGATAGCTTGGAGACGCGCACGTATCCAGGAACCTTGCGAATTCTCTCGCACGATGTAGTAGATCTCCCCTGCAACGATAAATGGTCATACCAAACGCATACGATAGGCGTTAACTCACTCACCGACTTTAGGCGGCAGCCGTTCGATCGGGGAAATCGGGGGTAGGTCCTTGGGCGGTTCGGATTCGGGAGATTTCTCGTTAGGCGTCGGGACTTTGGGGCTGTTGGAGTTGCCGGGATCGTCTAATTCGACGTAGGAGACAGGTTTGTGGATGCGGGCGCTCTTTCTTGGACTCTCTGGAATCGCGTCTAAAAGAAAATTAAAATAAGTGGTTTCTAAAGTTACCGTTACCTTTTTTTTCGTACTTACCAACTTTAATGATCGTGTTCGGAGACTGCGTGTGGTCATCGGTGATTGACAGACCTTTTAACGATCGAAAATCGGGCCGGAACTGGTTGTACAAATTCAGTTGGATTCCGTCCAGCACTTGCCTTATTTCTTTAACTTTATGGGTCAAGTCGGTATAATCCTCTGAAAAAAATGTATAAACCATCTAGCCGATAAAAACTTTGTACATACCCTCCACTTTCAGGCACTCCTTTTTTAAATACTCCGTCTCTTTTTCAAACTGGCTTTCTACCTTCAACTGCACCAAAGTTTCCTGCAAAACGTCGTCGATATTCTGACAGATAAAATCGAAATTTTCTTTACTGATATAGTCGGCCAAATCCTCCCCGTCATTATCCTCGTCATCGCTGTCCTCGATTTGTAAGGTCTCATTTATAATAGGATAATCTACACCTAGTATCAATTCGCCTTCCTTGAGAGTCGTGCTAAGCTTATCGAAATCCTGGACGGATTTGGAATAGCAGTCCTCGCAGATCTCTTCTCTGCGATTCTTGGACCTTTTCACACGGTAGTACGACAAGCAAAAGTCTGGGGCCGGGAAGAAATCCGAACTTGCGCCGTTACACGCAGAATTCAAACATCGGATACTGTGCGGTTTATCCACAAGGTCTATTATTTCTTTCACTGGAGGCTCCCCTGTTTCATTAGTAGTGGAAATATCTGAAACATCGGTGATCTAAGACTTATTTGAACTAGGAGTCTGTTTTACCTTTCATCGGTTCGTCGTCGTCATCATCTAATACGACGACGTCAGGATCTTTGTTTTGGCTGGTGGGGTTTACTTCATCTGCTTTTGTATTGTCTTCATTGTCATTGTCAACAATTTTGATGGCCTCGCTTGTTGGCTCAACCAAGATTAGGTTTTCGTTCGGTGTCTCTGGTGTAGATGAACTATTTATCGTAAACGAAAAGTCGTCCGACTTACGTTCGATTATGGGCGCGGCAGGTAAATTATCTTCGATTTCCATAGCATCATCCTCTTCCATATCCATGATTTTTGTTGAGCAACAATTTACTTTTGATACAAAATTATTCAAAAGCTTTGTTGTATAAACATAACCTCAAAAATTACCGCTAAAATGTAGTGTTAATTTTTTAATACTTTATCTTATGTGTTCTGTGGAAGACTTTTATTCAATTGTTTTTGTTAAGTACTGTGTCACTTGCAGTTTATTTTAATTATTATTTTAATTGAACAAAATACTTTCAGCAGAAAACAAAAAATTTGCCTTTTAGTACAGAAGCAAACCATTGTTACAAAAGGGTGGGGGAAAAGTTTGTATAATCAGTTATATTATATTTATATAAATTATATTCCCTACAAAAAACATTGATTATGTTTTGTAAATATTTTGTGTTTTAGATATTTTCTTAATTGATAATCTACAGTTCGTTGGAAGAAAATAATATCCAAGTTAAGAACCACTTCTGACAGGAGCTCCCCCTACCCTTGACATTTACAAATAAACAACAATAAACCAAAACCGAATATTTCAACAAAACTACTTTTCAGTGTCAGAATTCCACGCCTTTTAAAGATTTCCGTCCTTAATTTGTTATTAAATTCTCGTAATTGATCAATGGCCGCATAAAAATGACCTGAATCTCGCTAAAAAAAAAACAAAAATCGCAGTGTTTTTAGGCCCCTTAACCTCGAGAAAATGTCATCCCAGTTCTCCTTGTCAGGCAGTGGTCGACAGCAGAAGAGATTCTCGATAGACGATGCTTTCGAAGAAGAAACTGACGAAGCTATAAAGGTATATGGGTCCACAGGTCCCAGATCACCAGTTTCTAACACCAGTAGGAATATATTGGGAGAGGGTGACCATGTCAACGTTAATATTGAGAACGGACGGTAAAACAATGCGTTTTCGATATGCCTTCACGTCCCTTACATATTTCTCTCATTTTAGAACTTACAAACTGGCGAATGATGCGTCGAGAGATAGTGACTCATTAATACAAGACTACTACGACTGTTCTAGTCAAGAGAACTTGCACCGATCCTGCTTTAAGCACCCTAAAGTAAGGGAGAACTGGCGAATGGTGTTGGCAGCAGCAACGTTACTAATAATAGGCATAGGTCTGTTAGCGACTGGTACCGTGACGTTATCGGAACCCAACTCAGGGTTGCAAGGGTCTGTGTTTCTGCTGGCGGGGTTCATATGCTTTGTGCCGGGGGCGTATCACGTCGTGTATATTTATTTGGCGGCTAAGGGGAAGAGGGGGTACCACTTTCACAATCTACCATTGTTCACGTAGAAATGTTTCACCGAGGCAGGTAAAATGGGTTATTAAAGCATTTTTATGAGTGTGTATTTACTTGTTTTTATGTGGTAAGTTTTTAAGGTTATCATTAACAGACGTTGAATGTATCGTAACAGAGATTGCAATATTTTCGTAATCGACTTAATAAGGTTAGCGTTTTTCTCTCTCCGGATGAATCATATTCTTGTATTGGACTTCTAAACCGTTACCATATGTCCGTCATCTCATGATCGGAAATTAATTGTTGATGTAATCCCCAAGTTGTTTGATTCTATAAAATTTGCCACGCCCCCGTTTTTGGGGTATTTGAACACAAATGATTTGATTTGTGGCCCTTTGAAGGCAGTTTAAGTTGACGATCGCTTGTAAATTTGTATTACAATGAGAATTTTTTTTCAAAAATAATTGTAACTTGTTCAAATACCTCAAAATATAGAGGCGGGGAAAATCCATAGTCTAGTAGCTCGTACATTATAATGTTGTTTTTGACTACTGCTCTTGATTGTAGTGGGCTATGACTAGACTCGTACAAATCAAATTTGCCATGCTAAATACTCATTGTTTAAATCTAGCAATTGTTTCCAGTTTCATAGCCTACTATACAAGCATTGTGAATTATTGTTCTTTAAGATCCTTAAACGTAAAGGTTACTGGTTCTGGTTTACTTGCCGCAGATCGATAATCAAACTTGATTACATTGGCTTTTCTCACGAAAACTGTAGTGGAGGCAAATGATTATGTATTTTACATATCTCCGAGTAGCTTCACCACTCTGTCACCAGTAGTTTCTCTACTCGAAAGGTCGACTTTTTTGAAAAGTTACTTTTTATGCGAGGAGAGTAAAAATTTTTTTTTATGCCAAAGGTGAATATATTTAGCACGCCAGCTTAAGGAATAATACATGCTTTTACGAACTTCTAGATGCCTTTCGTGAAGGGTTTTGTTGCAAGTTTTTTATTGAAGTCGTTATTTTTTTCTCGGCACCACTCGGGTAAAGAAAAAGTAGTCGGAAATGTTTTTGGTGTCGGAATTCGTTTTCGATCCATGGAGAAGAAAAATACGGCTTCGGTGAAAAATAAGATATATTCTTAGTATTAAAAAGATTCCAAATTAAATAATTATGTAATGCAATGCAAGAAAGGTAACAGTTGACTGTTTGAAATCAAAGGAAATTATTTTTTGACTGCGTTTTGTGAATATTTTTTTTTTTATTTAATTTTAGGTAAATTATTTTCATAATTCAACTTTAAGCTATTTAAAGTAGGATAAATTGTAACACTTAATATAAGTTTGAAATTCGAGCTTTAAAAACATTATATGTAAGCCAAGTCTTTTTTACTTATGTGTCACTGTATAACTATAAAAAACGTTTCAATAAATTTAATTTTTCTTATGTCTTAAGCCTATTTCATTGTCTTGATGATTTTTTGTAGCTTGCAGAGGGTTCCAGCTTCATTTTTTTAAAGAAAGTATGTCTATTTGCGTCCATTCATAAGAACATCTAAGCCAAGACATACCAACAATACAGTTGGATAACTATTTTGAGCCGTTTTAGGATTTCCTAACTTCAATTACAAAATATGAAAAATATCGTTTGGTAGGTCCCGTCTGATCTCCTAACTTAAATTACGAAATACGCCAAACCTCTTCTTAATTTTCTTCTGTTTATTATAAGCTGCATTGTGTGGTCTCGCAAATTTTTGAGAAATTAGTAACAATATAACACTTTTTTGCGGCTTCCGATACTTCCAGAGGCAAATATGACGTCCAGAATCGAACGACTATTGATATTTTGTGTGTCTGGTTTTATGATTAATTGCCTATAGCAACCGCGGTCCAGGTCCGGACCACAGAAGGTAAAATACTGGACCGCCAAAAATTTTTTGAAAGTATAAATTACTCGAATAAATTATTTAAAAAATATTTTTTACGTTTAAGTGCCAATGTTATCATTTTTTCTAGTATTTTACAATTGTGTGTGTTTTGAGTTTTTAATGGTTAGTAAGCAGATTAAATTCGAGTCCAAATTAAAATAAAAAATAAGAAATATGAATTTTTTTCTGGACCTCGTTAAAAATTTTCAAAAGTATCCGGACCCCACCTAAAATTACTTGCCAACGCCTGGCCTATAGTATACACAAACCTGGTCGAAGCATATTTCTACTATAGAAGTCGTATTAATTTATCGTAATGTCAGAATTTGTACTCCTTTTTTTGCCAACTTTAACAATATTTCGAAGCAGCTTTTGATAAAATACTATTTGATGCATAGTTGCGTTCTTTTTTACTTACCGGTACTCGTAGAAAACCTCTAATTTCCCAAATACAAAATTAATACTTCGCAACCTATCATAAATAACTTTTTTTTTGTTCAAGGAAACTCGTATACAGGGTGTTCCAATTAAAACTTCCCACCTTAAAAATATCGAAAAAAAAAAACAAAAAAAACTGTCGACTTTCTTTTCAATGGAAACATAGATATTGTTAAGTTTTGGTGTATCAGAAACTACCTCTTAGACAGGGGTAAGAAATACCCTTAAACTTTAAATGGCGTCATAGTTGAGCGACACCTCATTTTAAAGCTTTTTCAATTTTGCTCATGACACATTTTTTTTAAATTTTGTATTGGATACGACAATAAAATCATCTTTTAACGAATAAGACAAAATACCAATGAATGAAAGAATGTTACTTATTAAATATTCAAATTGGTTTCTCTCCGCTCCCATAAAGTAATATTTCCTTCACATTCAAATGAACATTTCGAAGCATTTTGGGCGTTTTCTGAGGACATTCTTCAACAATTCGCCGACGAGGCTCCTCAAGTGAGTTCGGTTATGTTGTATAAATTTTTGACTTTAAATGTCCTCATAGAAAAAATCTAAGGGCGTTAGATCTGGCAATCTGGGAGGCCACTCAATTGAACCTCTGCGTCCTATCCAGTAATTTAGAAAGTTCTGATTAAGATAATCACGCACAGCTATGGCATAATGTAGTGGAGCACCATCCTGCTGAAACCATACATCCTCTTCTGGCAAAGCACTGTCATTTTCAAAATTTTCAATCACGGGCGTCCCATTTAAATTGTCACTCAAAGATATTCAAGATTGCGTGAAATCAATGAGGTATTAGTGGTGGGGGGAGCGAATACACAGCTACTCCGATCTGAATTCTCGAGTTCAAAACTGCGACGCTCGGAAAAATTTCACTTATCTCAACTTCTAATGGACCATTTTCGATTTTTTTTTTAAATCGATGTCTCGCAACTTAAAAAATTCAGTTATCGTATTTTCAACTAAATTTTATTATTAATTATTGGACTTTTGACATGCCGATAAACAGTTACTTTAAAAAATGATTAATTTATTATGTTTATTTATTTACTATATTAATATTCACGACCAAAATGTTTGCATGTTGCACCAGGCACTAGTAAGTTTATTTAAATATTATAAAATTGTTTAAACAATAATTATTTAAATAAAAAACTGAAAATTGGTATTAATTTTTAGTTCTAAAAATCTTTCAAAAATTATTACTCGCATAAATTGTGAATAATTATAATTTTCCTTTTTTCCTTTACTTTTAAAATATTTATTTTTTATTTATATAAAAAAGTATAAGAATCTTTTGGATACTTGAATAAACAGTACACACTTTTCATGATTTTTCAAATTTTAAAATATTTATTTCAATTTTTATTTACATTTAATATGATAATTGAATTTTTTAAGTTGCGAGACATCGATTTAAAAAAAGATCATCGAAATTGGTCCATTAGAAGCTGAGATAAGTGAAATTTTTCCGAGCATCACAGTTTTGAACTCGAGAATTCAGATCGGAGTAGCTGTGTGTTCGCTCCCCCCACCACTGATACCTCATTGATTTCACGCGGTCTTGAATATCTTTGAGTGACATTTTAAATGGGACGCCCATGATGGCAAATTTTGAAAATTTATATCTGGAAAGTACTCGGAATGACAGACCTATTAGTTCAAAAAATAGGCCTTATACTCATAGTTTGCTGTAAATAAGGGTTAACTTTAATGGGCTATAACTCCGACAATAATGGGCAGATCATCAGGTTTTTTTTTTAAATACTCGTCTTTCCGAGTACTTTCAAACCATATTTTAAAACAAAAAAAGAATTGAAAAAACATTAAATTATTGCAATTGTTTATAAGCGTGAAAATTGCGAAAATGTTTAAACAATCACCACGGCTCACCTAAGCGTCCGATTTAAATTTTCCAAAAATCATTTTAAAGATTGAGAGCTCTTCTTTTTGTGGGGAGGGAAATTTTCAAGTATTCAAAGGCTTTAGATTTTTAGAAATTTGATTTTGAAAATTTTTTAATTTAAAACAAAAAAAAATTTAAACAATTATTATGTAAAAACTGTCAAACCGAATTGGATGAAATATGGTGTGATGATTCTACGTACTAAGAAGTTTAATTAGGAAAAGTATGAAGATCCTAGGTATTATTCAAGTGTCTGAAAAAAATTGACAAATAAACTTGCATTTTTGCAATTTTTTAAATGATTTTTCCGATTTTTGCAACAACAATAATTATTTTTTTGAATTGCAACCGACTCTATCTTGTTCAAAATTTAATTACAAAACTTTTTTTCCTCTTCCATTTTTGTCTAAAACGAATAGTTGCTTAGTAGTCGGCGAGAAATCCAAGAAAAAAATGAATTTTTTTGCTATTTTTGTTATAATTTTTTGCAATAACAATTAAGCCCACGTTTTTTTTATTTGTATAGAAAAATTATCATTTCTGATGTTATTTAGAAGTCGTTAAAGCAATAATCTCCGATCATATGCGTTTTACCCAACCCGAAACAGATACCGCCTGGACTATTGTTTTTATAAGGGTTGAAACTTATACATAAATAGCAGTAAAGAAATCTTAATTTAATATCACTATATGATTAAATTATTCCAAGTTGCTAAATAATATTTTTCAACATTATTTTTTAATGATTAGTCATAGGGGGTGGTTTTAGGGATTGACAATTTTCAATTCATCATAATTACTTAAAGATGATTTCAACCTATTACACGAATCGACGTTGAATCTACAATTCTATAATTATTTTCGAATAGTGGTAGTTTTCATCCCCTAAAAAATAAAAAGTAGAGGACAAGTAGAACCTAAATCCAAATTTTGGTGCAAATCGGTGCTGTTTGGGAAAATTGTACAGTAACGCCGTATTTTACCTTCAATGACTGGACTATGTAGAACAAACTAATTATTTCCACTTTTTCAAAATCAACATCTCTGGTTTTTTTGATTTTTTTTTAATTCCGATATCTTCCAGGCAGGAAGTTTGAATTGGAACACCCTGTATATATGTTCAATCATCAGTGTGTACATTTTTTCGTTAAAAAAATTACCGTTTTCAAAATAAATAGTGTTAAAACAGATGTTCAGATGACCCACAGCTCAATCGTTAACGGCAACGCGATGCTTGAGGGAGAAGAGCCAATTGAATCAGTTAATAAAGAACCACTGGCGAGTCGCCACGTGTTTTCTGTGTAAAGATTATATTTTCCATAACTTGCCTTGTAACTTTGTAACCCTAAATAAATAAAGATCATGCAAATGGCATAATTGGCGCCCCACGTTGGGCGCCAATTATGCCATTTGCATGATTTTTATTTATTCCTAAGCCTTTACATCAGAGGGAACTGGGTCGTCGTTAAATTAAAATGAAAACTGTAATCTGAAACATGTTTTAATTATTTTGGCTTAAAATACAAGCATGATATACAGTAACAAAATTTTAATTCAACTAATATCTTTTCGTCATATTTTACACAATTTGTACTTACAAAAGTTATCAAAGTTTATCGAATCATTTAAACACCTATACAATTTATTACATTGTCTGGAAAACGCCAAATGACGGGGGGAGACGCCCTAGAACGTCGGATTTACAAGCGCGACAATTTAAACAAAAAAAATTCCTCTACACATTCCGTCCGAGGACGGAAAGCGATTCGGGGACTGACAATACAAATTTAATGAAAACAAAATACAATTACACGTTTCTGAAATATTCCGCAAAATATACGTACACAGTTTTTTGTAACGTCCGTGCAACAAATATAGTAATGGATAAATGCATATTAAATAGGAGGATGACGAGAGAAAACAAACCGAAAAGGGGGAATCAGTTCAGGGATGGGGTGACGTTGTCGCACCAATTTACTTCTATGTTTGGCCACTTTGTTTGGAGAACGGTCAGCATGGGGTTCGATTCGCACACGGATTTCAGATCGGACTCCAGTAAGATGGCCGAACCGATGTGGTACTGCACCTGGAAAAAAATTGTTTAACATGCTACAAAGCGATCAAGTTTTGAATAACTAATGTTAACCCAGTTACTGTAGTTGGAAACATAGTAATACCTCCGAATTTTTTATAATTGCGTCGATTTTTTTCAAAATTAAGAATTATGCTCATCTTACCCCCCACTTCAAAACTTATATATGCACTAGGTGTGCTTTTTGTTCTTAGGGGGTGAAAACACCCCTTATCGAAAAAAAAAAGAAAAAATACAAATTTAAGTGTTTTATGTAATCAAATCTTTTTTATGTGTGCAGTATGAGTAATTTCATGTGCTATCTAACATGAAACTTAATGTATCCCAAATTGTCAACCCAGAAAAACCTTTAAAAACCACCCCTTTGGATGAAAATAATAAATTTTTTATTTTATCAAATTAAAATTGATTTCTTTATTAAAAAATCTTTTTTATCGATTGCAACTTTTCAACCCTTGAAAAATACCCCTTCTTTCGAAAATAAAATGAAAAAATATTATTGAAAGAGTAGAAGATAATTGATCATTTGTGCATTTGTAATTCGACTTAGATGTTTATAGCAATACTGTACAAAAATAAAGTTTTGGGTCAAACAATGAGACACAGTTTTTTTTTATTTTTTTCCGTAGAATTGAATGGTGTAATCAGTTTTTGAATGTTTTGTAATTTAAACAAATTATCAACAATTACTAAAAAATTCATTGCTGCAAGTAATTTTTAATTTTTTTGCACTTTTGAGCATGTTTTTGAACTGTGATTACAAATTTTTTTTATTTCCCCAAAAAGTATGTCAAAGCAAAAAAAATGATTACCGGCAGAACTCTGTACGATAATTTTTTTAAGTAGAATTTTTCCTTGAAAAAAAAAAGGTGTTTCAGGCCGAAAAAATGAATATCTCAAAAACTTCTTCATTTTTTTATCTAAAAAAATTTGAGGTTATTTAAGACAGAGAAAGGTATACTTTCACCAAGTTTCGTCAAAATTAAATTATTTTTACGGAAATGAAAATAAAAAACAAAAAATCAGAAAAAAACAGTTTTTCGCATTTTTCTCAGAAATTTTGCGGTTATGTTCAAAAGTGACCTCTACAAAAGTTGTCGATTTTTGCATGATCTACAACTTTTGTATTGGATACTTCTTTGTTTGACGTCAACTTTCACCAGAAATCCCAAATATACATTTTTTCATAACTTTTCAACCCCTCAAATCAACCCTCCGCCGCCCCTGCTCACGCATTTATTTTTTTAGATTTATAAGCCCTTTTACCATTTCCACTTATAAAAGTCCAGGTAACAATTTTTTTTTCTCCAAGTGTAATTTCGTTGGACTATTATTTTAGCTAAAAATGAGAGTTTGTGTTGCCAGAATTATTCTAGTGAAGGTAAAAACAATAAAAAATTTTACTTGATTTTGGTCATGAACAATAATATCAAATAAATAAGAACTCTATTCGTCCTATCGTCCTATTTTATTTTTATAGAAAATAATATTAGGTATTTAATAATATTATTAGGTATTTAAATAACAAAATAGATGCCGTGCGCCACACGTGTGCTGTTTGAAAAACCAATTGGTACAATCGTAAACGTAAAACACGTAAACTTATTTTTCACTATGAACAAACTGTTTTTTCAGCAGTATCTAGGTAGGTAAATGTAGGCAAACAGAATGTTAGTTATGTCCCTACGATGTTTTTAGGAAAACTGAATGAAATATTTTCAATCAGACCTTTTTATTTAAGTACTTTCAGTAATTTTAAAGAATAATTTTAAAAATCTTTGTACTCTATCGAGTACTTTTTGTACTTTTCGTAATTTAATATGTACTTTTTGTAATTTCTTACATACTTTTTGTAATTTTTGTAATTTACCAAAGAATTTGGTAAGTTTTATACTTTAATAGATAATTTCTGTATTTTTAAAGTAATTTTAAATTATAATGTCTCAAACGTACACCAAAAAGTACTTGTGGCACACCCCTCGATTTTAGAGAAATAAAAAATTAAAGCAAAATCTTCAGCAAAAATAAAGCTAAATTTTTTTACTCTTGTATTTTTTCGTACACTCTTTAATTTTTAAGTTACAGCGTAAAAATCGATTTTTTTTCAAAAATTTGAAAAATTTACATTTTCAAAAATTAAGTTTTTTTTTCGAAATCATGCTTTGTAAGTGAGCCAAAGACCCAGAACATATTCTTAGAACATAAATCAAGAAATCTGTAAATGGATTGCATTTAATTTTAATTCTGTCGCCAAAGGCACTGATTTGTTTATTAATCTTTTCTTAAAAAAAATGAGCCTATCATGTTATTTCGATCATATTTCCGTTAATTTTGATTCTAAAGACTTTTAAAACAGCTCATTTTAAAGGTTTTTCAAAGTACTTTAAAAAAGGTTCAAATAGTTTTTTTCCTAATATTTATTTATGGTTTTGGCGTTATTTAACGTTAACTGGTTCCAATTTAGTTTTTAGCCAACATATAATAATGTTTAAAAATTCATAACTCGGTTTATATTGCAATTAGAGCAAAACAGAATAAAGCCATTAGATTTGTTTTTTTATTACCTTTCTTTTTGTTCATTACAACTTTTTCGTTAAATCCAATGGTTTCAGAGTTATTTGCGAACTGTCCGAAAACAAGCACTTTTTCAGTAAAAAATCAACATTTTCAATGACGAATTACTCGGAAAATATTGGATTATCCAAAAAACTTTATATAACATTTGTTACTTAAAATTGACTCCTCTATCGATTCCTGTGGTTATTTTGGACGTAAAAATTTCCATCCCTGAGAAGGGGTTGGAACCACCCCCAGAGCAAAAGCACACTTCGGCACTATATAAGTTTTGTTCCTTGAGGCATTCCCCACATTCAGTCAAACCCTGAGTAACTGGACTATATTATCTCCGCCAAATTCAACCAATTTAATTAATTAAATAATTTACTAAAGTTTCATCACACTGCATCGAACACATCCAGGCATATTTAAAAAAATATATTTATTACCTGTCCTTTAACGTTGCTCTGGGCGAGACCATTGTAATGTATCAGCGTAAACATATCGGGAGTGGAAGACTCCTCCTTAGGAAAAAATTCGTCCATGAAAGCGTGCAACAAAATGATTCCCAAATTTTCCCCGTCCATCTTCTTCTTCATTATATTTACGCTGAAAAAAAAGGTACAGGTTATCTCAAAAAGGCATTTTAACGTCTCCGCTTACTACTCCAACTCGCTGACGAGATCGAGAGCACGCAGGACGTCCTGGAGTTTATCAGAACTGATGAAATTGTTGCCTTCCGGGTCGAAGCTCTTGAACACCCTCCGGGCCTGCTCGCTTTTCGTCTCCGGACTTACGAGCTTCCTTTCGTCACTGAAAAGGACTGCGGAAGCATCGTTAGGATTTTCTATGTGGAAAACGCATCGTTTCTTACCTGTTAGATGTGTATCCGATGCGACCACCCACACTGGATGGATGGGATTCTTGTAAAACGACCCGACGGTGCAGAACCTGTGATACTCCATTATCGTTATGAATCCTATTTGGCTCTGCTTCTCGATACCCCGCAGCTCTAAAAGATCGAACGTCACTCAAACGTCAAACATAAGACTCTCGGACTCTTGCTAACACCTTAGAGGGGTTAAATTTCACTGAAATCGTTAAATGGAACGTGCTACTTACTTAATCCACCGACGTCTTGGTCGTGGTCCCATACGTAGGTTGTCGCCCTCCCGGTGATCATCAGATTGATAAGAGATTGACTACCGTAACCATAAGTCTCGTCTATTAAAGGGTCTTGGGTCTCCGATTCCGATTTTACTTGTTCCAGACCCTGAAATTATACAATCAATTTCGGACGTGTTAATTTTTTACGTGGAATGCAGACAAACCTTGGAAGCTATCACAGAATACAAGAACAGGAGGACGCCGTACTGCGCTTTGAGTTTCTCAATATTCTCGAAATAATACTTGACGACGTCGTCCATGCAATGGAAACAATGCACCCTCAACTCTTCGTGGAACCTGAGGGGGTCTGTAATTAGAGAGGAATAGAGGCTCTTGGGGGAACCGAGCATGGAATTGTCATTTTTGTCCCCATTAAAATCAGACGCACTGACGGAATCACTAAACGTACTATCTAAATAAACTATGTAATACTTTTGGCTGGTACACTGTCCCAAGATTTCACTGAGAGCATTGATCAGAAAATGGTTCTGTATTTCGAGGTTGACCTAAAAAGGTTTCGGGTTAGGTTCTCATCGTGGCGTAAATGCCGACTTACTTTTTCCCTAAAGGATAGATCTTTGTATTCTAGGAGCAGGTTTTTTATTATGAAGGCTTGGACGGGGGCAATTATTGCACAGGGCCCTCCCTCCGACTGTTCCAAAGCACTTTTTTCATTACCGCTGAAATAGAAACCTAAAAATTGAAACGAGTTCTGTGAATTCGACTATTGCAAATTTAAAAATCAAATAACGCGCAAATGCGGCGCAATTACAAAAATTTACCTTGTGACCACCTTTTGAAAATGTCTGTCTTTATCTCGCTCCCCCATAATAAATTTTTGATGCCTAATAACTCTTGCTCAATGGCAGAAGGTAAAGTTTCCGCCATTGCAAAGTAAATACACACAAACTTCTTAAATTTATAATTTGTTACAATATTTTATGAATATTTAAGGTTATAATAAATTGACATCTCCACTATTTTCTTCATACTACCAACACTAGAAAGAAAAAACGAAAAACTGTCGTCACTATGGGAACAACCGCAAATAAAAATACACCAGATTAATTATTATCGTCCGTTCCACGAATCCAAAATAGTAATAAAAATAAAGGAGACCGAAAATATATTTTTTTAATGACGTTACAAAACCTCTCTTCTGTTATAGCAATCTAAAAATAAAACTAGCACATTAGTCTCATAAGTTACCATTATTTCAATACATTTTTCAAATTACTCTGTGAAAATATCTATTTCATGCATAATATTTAAATTTGGGGATTATTTATCACAGTCTTAAGTAAGTTAATAATTTAAGCTAAAAAATAATAGTTTATTTACTTTCATCTTAATTTTTGTAAAACGGTAACCGTATTGATTTGACAAATCTATTTTTAGGGCCTATACAGCAGCAGTTCCAAAAATTGTCTAGAGTTACAGATTTCTGTAAAACTAATTTATTGTATTTGTAAATCATGGATCAAGTTGAATACATAAAATCTAACAAAGGGGGTATTAAAATTATCTACAGGGGCTACATGTACACTGTGCACAAAAATAAAAAATGCGGTGGCATCCGCTGGAGGTGCGCCCAAAGAAGTTTAAATTGCAAAGTACAGTATATTTTCATTGGCAAACAGAAAATATTTTAATTTTTTTTTAGGGAAGTATATCAACGAATCCGTCTGGATTTCCCCTTATAAATATGCCCCATAATCATTTACCAGATCATCAGTCTATAGCCATAGCAAGGCACAAATTTGAAAATAATTTAGATGGGCATTTATTTTCAGATTTAGTAGCCTTGGCGTCAGCGACTGGTAAGAAAATTTGGTGTTTTAACCTTGTACTTTAGCTTTAAAAATATTATTTCTGTTGTCAATTAGATTTATAATAACCATGGCTTAACATAAATTTTCTACGCATATTTCATACATTTGGTCAAAATCGGAAAAGTTTTGGGACTGCAGTCTATAAGTGTTTGATGCTTGTTCGCGTTTTATTATTTTACAAGCGTTGTTGTGACAGTTTATTGTTGTCGTGGAGTTGTTAAGAACAATGTTCTCAGATATAAACAACCGACCTGATCAGCGCCTCAACGAATAACGTCTAACAACAAAGTGAAACCTTAAACAATTATTAAATTGCATATTATTTGTATGGTAAGGTTATGTCCGTCTAGGTATAACAAACTGAATGCATTTATTTGCCTGCAGGCGCACTCACCTTAGTTAGTATCGTAACTGGCAAATATTGCCTCTAATTTTATGTTTATCGATTTATTAAAATGATGGTATTTATCCGATTTTGTTATTTCACGTAAACATGTTTGGAACCGCAGAGTTATGTTTTAACTTTTGCTCCACGGCTTACTTGTGTAGGCTTTCAAGTTCAGAATAGTTTTACGGTGGCGATGCATTGTTAATTACATTTGTGTAAAGTGATACAACTTATAGTTCCCTGGGATTAACTACTATTTTTTCCTTTGTTAACGCTGGTGTTGGGGAAAAAATAGCAAAAACTTGTTCCGGTGCGGTACTAGTGCTAAACAACATGGCCGATATGGGCAGTAAATACGATTTCTGCGGAATGAAAAAAGTTAGGAAAAGCAATTTCTCTCCAGAAGAAATAGAAGCTTTGATCTCGACGGTGGGTAAAAATTACCACGTTTTATACGGAGAATTTGCGAAACGAGCGGTAAACAAGCAGGCGAGACACAGAGTTTGGCTGGATGTGACAAAACAGGTCAATAGGGTTAGCCTCGAGAGACGGACCTTACAGGAAGTCAAAAATAAGTGGAAAAAGTGCCAACATTTGTATAAAGAGCGGGAATCCTCGGAAGACATCGGTACGTTATTTTTGAAAAAAAATCAGTACAAATTCTCCCTTAATTCCAAATTTTCTTTTTTTTTATTTAGTTTTACCGAACGTTTGGGAACCGCTGACTTCATTAAAAGGTTTGTTCATGAGTATTGACATTTGTCGTGGCGCGAAATTCAAATTTGTAAACAAGGCAAATGAATGCATTTAACGAATATTCCTCGGACGTACCCTTACCGTAACCTCTTCCCTAGATCCAATATGAAAAGCAAAGCTAAGCACCGGGGTAACAAAAACGGTAAAAGGATAAAAATAAGGCAGTGCACCAGTTACGAACCAGACTTTAAAAAGGCGGTCGTTTTGTACGCCGAACAAAAGAGCACGAGCGAGGCCAAAAGGCGATATGGGATCAGTGAATCGAACATCAGGCGGTGGAGGAGGCTAAAAAATGAAATTTTAGAGAAGGCCTCGCAGGCAAAGGCCACCAGAAAGTCTACTCGTTCGACGAATACGTTCGAAGGCTCTCTGGAGGAATGCGATTCGTTCGACTTTTCCAGCAGCCTAGGTACTCTAGTTTAGTCATTCGCCTTGTTTTCTAAAGGTAGACAAAGTCAGTCACCCCAGTGAAACGCCTTGACAACCGAGGCAAGTTTTAAATTCAACCGAACGCTATTTCAGATTCCATGCCTCTGGAGCAGCGGCTGAAGGCGCCACAGGAACAAGAACCGATCCTTCAGAGTCAACCGTTATCGCCGACCAAACTAAAAGTGACCCGACAGTCCACGAAGCCCCCACAGCCCTCGCCGAAGCCCAGGACGCCCGAACCTCCCAACGAGGAAGTTTGTTTGAGATGGAACAGTCACCATTCCAACATGCAGAGCTCCTTCCCCAGCTTGCTGATGAGAGAGCAGTACGTCGATGCTACTTTGGTTGCGGAAGGGCAATGTTTAAAGTGCCACAGGGTACGTTTCCGATGTTTAACGTAACGAAATAAAATATTAACGCCCTTTCTTTTTTTAGCTCATTCTCTCGTCTTGCAGTCCTTATTTCGAGGAGGTTTTGAGCGGCATCAGCCCTTTTCAGCACCCGGTACTGTTCATGAAGGACATCCCGTTCTGGGTGTTGAAATCGCTCTGCGATTTCATGTACGCCGGGGAAGTGCACATCTTCCAAAACAAACTAGAAGAGTTATTGGCGGTTGCGGAGACTTTAAAGGTACGTTTTAATAGATAAAAAAAAATGCATTAGAAGACGTTTTATCGGTAGATCAAAGGTCTGGCTGGTAAAATGGACGGGTCCAACGAAGACGTGAAAACCGCGGACTCCGCCAAGACCTTAAAAGAAGAGAAGAAGGAAGAAAAGGAAGTAAAAGAGAAGAAACGGAACTCGCAGCAGGTGGAGCCTTCGCCTAAAACTAGTTCAAAAGCCCTGAGATCTGCGCATCCGTCGAAAAAGTCTGAGAAGATCAGCAAAGAGCCGCTGAATAAGGAGGGCATATTGGACCCGTTGGACCTGCTGGAACCCGTCTATGAAGAAGTGACGAAGGAAAGTGCGCCGCCGAAGGTGAAGGAAGTCAAGAACATTCCCTTCAAGAAGGGCAAGTTGAAGAAGAGGAAATTTTCGGAGGAACGGGAAGAGGTAAGTGGGGATTCGGTCGTTATACTGGGCGTTTCACGTAAGAAGACATAGAGCAGGGCATAGAGGAAACCAAGACGGTTTAATGAACACTTCAGTTGCATCGTTTATTTGCTCGGGAGTGTCAAAATTGACATTAAATTTCTTTCGAATAATTCCACTGTTTCAATGAAATTGAAAAATAATAGTCCAAGCATTATAGAGAAATGCTTACAGAAATTATTACCTGGGCAAAAAAATATGACCGTATAGAAAATTAAATTTTAAATTAAGTTTCTTGTTCGTTAAACTCGATCCAAAGTGGCGAACATGGTTAAAAAAATTTCAAAGTTGCAAAAAACGGTTTTTCTAAAATAACTAAAAAATATAGCACCGATTGAAAAATTTTAAATGAGAAAGTTGTAGGTTTTAAAAAGATCTATCGACTGATTTTTTGTAAGTATCGATTGTTTTGTTACTTTTCGAGATATATCGAAAAAACCGTTAAAAATCTTCTCTTTTCTCTTCTTCTATAACTCGTTTACATTTACGTGCCCCTTTTTGCTATTTACTGCAAGCATAGCCCGCGGCAAGAGTATATTTTTGAAAAATTTAAAAACATTAATTATTTTTTCGAAATATATTGATTTTTTGAAAAGAAGGCGCTCTTGAAAATTGGCTAAATCTTCTCAGCGGATAGCCCTACAGTAACGATTTTCGGTTTATTTTCTTCGTAAAGAATTATATTATTATGCTGTTAAAAAATGTTAACGATTTTATTAATTTGACTGAATTTATTTAATGACTATAATATTCGTGTTTAGCTACCCCGGATTAAGTACGAAAGAATTTTTGTACGTGGTCCAGAAGCCAAGATATCAAAGATTTTGCAAGCGCGAGCCATTTAGACTGCACGTAAAAAATACAAAAATTATCTCGGCACCAGAAGGTCGTAGAAAAACATTTTTTTTAAATTCATGAAAAAATGTCAGCAGTTTCTTCCTTTAAAAGTCAATTTCATAAAATAAAAATTGAAACATTTATTTGAAAAAAACATACCCAAAAAAAGTGCAACATTTTCAGTCATATTTTGGTCCTTAAAATTAAAAAAATCGTCAAAATTTTTTAACAGCATGATAATATGACTCTTTACGAAGAAAATAATCCGAAAATTGTCACTGTAGGGCTATCAGCTGAGAAGATCTAGCCAATTTTCAAGAGCGCCTTTTTTTCAAAAAATCGATATATCGAAAAATAATTAAAATTTTTTAAATTTATCGAAAATGTACTCTTTTGTCTTGCCGCGAGCTATGCTTGCAGTAAATAGCAAGCGTGGGAAAGTAGATGTAAACGAGTTATAGAAGAAGAAAAATGAGATTTTTAATGGTTTTTTAGATATATCTCGAAAAGTAACAAAGCAATCGATACTTACAAATAATCAGTCGATAGATCTTTTTAACCCTTTTGCTGCGCAATACGTCTGAACGTAGCTACCGTGCCGTGCGCGATTGTTTATCGCGTGCGAATATATACGTCTGGAGCAGTTAGACCACTTATAGTTTTACATTATGTTGTGTTAAATTACGATTTACGATAAATTTTAAGATTTTATTTTGAATAAAATACAGTATATGTACTAAATAGAAACTGAAAGAAACATGAACAATCTTGGTACTATTACCAGTACCTCTTTCCATAAAAATATTTGCCACAATCGGTATAAGCTCGCCCGCAAAAATTCGCCTTACCAATTGCAATAACCGAGTCACTATGCGCACGGTTGCGAATATATACGGTTTGAGCAGCCTGATCCAATTTAACTATTCATGCGAATTTATCCGTCTGGAGCAGTTTGAGCCCTATAAATTTTTAGCGAATATATACGTCTGGAGCAGTGAAAGGGTTAAAACCTACAACTTTCTCATTTAAAATTTTTCGATAGGAGCTATATTTTTTTAGTTATTTTAGAAAAACCGTTTTTTGCAACTTTGCGATTTTTTTAAACGATGTTAGCAATTTTGGATCGAGTTTAAAGAACAAGAAACTCAATTTAAAATTTAATTTTGTATACGGTCATATTTTTTTTGTCCAGGTAATAATTTCTGCAAATTTAACATTAATCCGTGACAGAATGCTTGGACTATAATGCTTTTTGAAGTTCCGAGACTCGTAATCGAATACAATTACCTCTCTGTGTCGTATCTTATGCGGAAATCTCTGTACATATCAGTTGTAACACCTCACGTTTTTCGGTAGTCGCCCCCTCCACTTTTCCTCTCGAGGAAAGGTACCAGATCCAGGCCCAACGTAAAGATTCCAAAATACTACCACACCCATTACGAACGTGTCTCCGAATCCACCATAGTGAGAGAACCGCACACCCAGCAACCGGATCCCTTGTTCCAACTGGAAGAAATCAAATCGGAGCCGTTGGATATGGAAGACGACGTCATCGAGATAGAAGATAACGTTATAAGCTTCTCGGAAGTGTCGGAAATGCCGTCGCACGATGAGGAAATCATCGGGAATTACGACAGCCCCCTGGTAAACTTAAACGACAAAGCCAAGGAAGACGGACCGTCTCCGTTTAAGAAAATTAGTCTGGTCGCACAGCCAGTCATAATGAACATACACAGCATCGCCGAGAAGACGTCTAGTACGGTAAAGATCGTCGATGTCGCACAGCTAAAGGGCACAGTGGAGAGTTTGGACAAAAACGACCCGTTGGAAGCGATATCTGACGATAAAGCAGCGGAAGATCCTTTGGATTTTGTTAGTGATAACTCACAGAAGGGTACAGATGGTATAACGATAACTAACGTGCAGAGCATGGCCGATATAGAAGAAACGGAGGAAAAATCACATGATAAAACCGTTGAAGACGAGGAGAAAGAGCCACAAATTGAAAATGTCGAGGAAGAAAAAGCTTTGGACGAACCGAATTGTGAAATTGACGTTGAAAGTGTCGCGAACGAAACTGAAACCCTCAGCACAGCAGAAAAGTCAGATGACAGAACTCTTAACATCGTAGAGAACGATACCGCGGAACTCGCAAAGTCCGACGATGAGAAGGAAACTGAAAATATCCCAATTTCGGAAATTCTTCAGGATAACGTAGTCACAACCGATGGCGAATCTGCAAAGGAAAGTAGCAACGCAACCACCACAAACGAAGAAAATGAAGTTACACGGACGGAACCCGAAGAAGAGCAAATCGTCAACAATAGCGAGGCGGATTCGGAAGAAAACAGCGTGGAACCCGGTTTCCACATAGCGAAAGTCGCAAGAGAACAATTCTCCCTCACCGAAGAAGGTACGAACGACGTGAAGGAAGTGATAAGCGAGGACTGTGCCAGTGAGTTGGGCTTTCAGATAACGAACGTTGTTAGCGGGCAAATCGAGGACTCGGATCAAAACAGCACTCCCAACGACGTGAATAGCGGTGAATTGGGGACGTTTTCGAATCACTTGGAGGAATTCGAAGCCGAGGTTCCAGAACAAAAGGAAGTGAAATCTACGACGCCCGTGTCGGGCGATTCGTTGAGCGAGGAGACGCGGTTCCTGGCCGAGTCCTTGGAGAAGCTCCTCGACAAGTAACTGTCGTTCTTTGAGCGGCATTTTGCACATAGCTTAGGTGGCGATGTTGTCAGTGTTGTACATAGGTTTATTTAAGCGGTAGAGATAGTTTTTCTTATTTTATTCATTGTTACAAGCGTAGTTAGGTGTCATGGACTGGCCGACACAAAGGGAATGGGAATTTTTTTTTAGAAATATTGCTGAAAACTCAGGTACACTCAGTCCTAAGGAAAATAAAGAAAAAATCATGTTTGTAAGGTAAAACGGAAAAATAAAGTTATTTACTAGTTTTTTCGCCTTCGAATTTACGGAAAGTCATTTTTAACGACCCTGTATATATGTAAAAGGAGGCGGAGGGTAATAATTCTTATATCACACCCTAAACAATGTCTTTATTTATCTTGTAAAAATTTTTTTTTGTTTGAGCAGTAAAATATTTGCAGTACTTCATACAGGGTGTGCCAAAAAAGACCAATCTGGGCACCGCGGACCTTTGGCGTCAAAACAATGTTAAGGAAGTTAAAAAAATGATAAATCGAAGGTTTATATCTGAGATCAGTAGATTTTTGAGGTTCATTAGGCAAATCGCCCCCCAATTTCATCATTCTGCATCAAACGCCTTCAGAGACGTTTTAAAAAAAGTTGAAAATTTTTTAAAATTTAAACATCCCAAGCTGCGCTCATTTGTTTTTCGATCCATATATGTCAAATTGAAAGTACTATCTTGAAAATAGTCAATTATTTAGAGAAAACGATTCTGAAAGTTAACTTTTACTATAATCATATTTTAATCCTGGAGTCTGTCGTTAGGATTGGCCTTTTTTCCGGTACTCGCTTCAGTGATTATTATAAACGACTTTTTCCGTTTGCCCACTAAAATATTTGCAGTACTTTATATACAGGGTGAGCCCAATTATTTTAGTTCACTTGAGGTTACAAATGAACTCAATTGTGTAAATTATTACGTATATTAAGTTAAATATAGAGTGTGATGTTTTAATAGGAAGCTGTCGTCAAAGCAAAACCCATCACGTGAGCATTTCGTTCTTTTGTACATAAATTTTCAAAGTTCCTGTGCCAATCCATTCCGCTTTTTGTTTTTTGTATTGGTCAGCGTAGAGCGAGTATGAAAATAAACTTTTATTTCGAAAAAAGCCGATTCCCGACCAATTTTATTTGCTACCCTTCCTTTACGAATACAGGATGTTTGGAAAAGTTGGGACAAAATTTAAGGGGGTGGAAGTAGAGCCAAAAATAGTAAAAAAAGTTCCAAAGGGGTCTTATCGTATGGATATTTTTTAAAATAACTTTTTTTCTGATTAAGATAACGGAATGAAAATTGTATGTAATACTCGTACCATAAGGGTCTTTAACTACCATAAGTTTTATCAAAACCGGTTATAAATAAAGATAGTTTTGTAACTACTCAACAGAAATTTAAAAATTTTTTTTTATTCCTTTGAATTATCAAGCAAATATTATTTTTTAATAAATTGGACTTTTGAAGAAAAAATGTATCTACTTTTTTTCGAATTCTGCGTAGTTTAGTCAGAATTAATTATTTTTTAAATAATGTATGGCTCAAAACAGTAACTTTTTTTAACATTTTCACATAGTAGGCATCTTTCATAGTGACAGTTTCATTGTAATGATTGTCACTTTCGCGAATTTCGCAGAATTCGAAAAAATAAGTAGCGACATTTTTTCTTCAAAAAAGTCCAATTCATTAAAAAATAATATTTGCTTGATAATTCAAAATTAAAAAAAATTGAAAAATTTCTGTTAAGGGTAGTTACAAAACTATCCTTATTTATAACCGATTTTGATGAAACTTATGGTAGTTAAAGACCCTTATGGTATGATTATTATGTACAGGGTGATTCACTATATTTTGACCCCCCTTTAACTTTTTTGTTTTAAGAGTTATAAAAAAATATGAAATATAAAAGTTGCACGATTGTTTATGAATTTTTCGAAAGTGATAATAGAAAAATAAATGAAGTCCAAATAAAGTGGCCGCGGATGTTAACTTTTTTTACTATTTTTGGCTCTATTTTCACCCCCTTAAATTTTGTACCAACTTTTCCAAACACCCTGTATAAAATAAAACGACAATCAACACTTCTAATATTTATTTGGTTCCAATAATTTCATGTTACAAATTGCGACTGTGGACAATTTTTACACCTATATTGTCTATTTCAGACTATCTATAAACTTGTATATAGCAATGGCTGTGCGCTATACACAACAACGGCATTCTGCTCATCAACGGAAACCGAAAATAAACGATTTTGATACCTATGTAGTTATCGGAAAAGTTTTCTTACTAAACGTAAACAAAAAAAATGTCGTACGATAAATAATCGAAAAAAATTAGGTAAATATATGTAAATCTTATTCATTTCAATGTTCCACGGTACAAAAATTTAAACCGCCCGAGTTTCTACATTTCCACACATATTTATACCACAATACATATTTTTTAGGCCAATATACTACGCCTCGATTACACGACAACAAACGATTTCACCCAGTTAAAAATACCCGGTAACTCTTCTTTAACAGTCAAGATTCTTTGGCATTTCGCTTATCACAATGCCAAGAGCAAAAACAGCGTCAACTTGATAAAATCAGAAATTTAAATACCTACCTACTTATCGTCTATAATAAATATAAAATAAATAAATCGTAAAAGAATAAACTGCGGGTGTAACACCTCGGATAGTTACTGCAATGGTGAAATATATGTATATTCGTACGAGTAATTATCACAATCAGATCACTGTGCCTAGTTCAACAGGAAAACGTATTTTTGTAAGGGCATATATTCGTTGAAGTTAAAATCGTGCCATCGTCAATTGCCACGTTACAAAAATACGTCTAAATTCATAACAATAAAAGTATGTGGCGCTTCAAATTCTATTTAAACTTCAATCCGTACAATTCGACAATTCTCTGAAAATATTTCGGTCATTCCGCCCAGTTTCGTCGAATTTGAAACGCCCCGTAGAAAATACTTATCAACCTGAGAAATAATCATTATAAAAATACTTTTGTCACCATTTCAACAAAAAAAACGTTAACTGGAAAACAATACTTTGGAACTTAAAATTACCGTCGTTGGTGCGATTACACGAAAGTGTAAAGCAGGTTCCTGTCGTAAAAGTGATAAACGCCGTTGATGTGCTTCAAGACCTTACCCTCGATGAGGTGTCTGGCGTAGTGCACCGCCTCCACCCTGTCCCTAGCTAAACCTACCTCCACGAGCCAATCGACAAACGTATGACCCGAGAATACGTTCTTGTAGACCTTCAACCTCCATCTGAAACGAGAGGAACAGTTTTTTTAACCGTTTCGTAAACTTGTACTAGTACCTTTTGTCCACAGCGATGGCGTTGCGGCAGTTCACCAGGTGGTGGGTGACGAACTGGTCGCAGATGTGCTTCGTTTTCGGACTGAGCTCGTGCCAAGCGGGCAAAGTCAAAGTGTTGGCGCCATACCACAGTTTCCGCCAATATTTGAGGACGAGCAGTACGATCTCTTTGGTATCCAGGCCGAAGATGGCGAATACGATGATGCTCTGTCCAAAGTTCAACGTGGCGTCCAAGAACGACAGCTCCACGTATATCCCCGACATCTGCTCGATGACCAGCGTCCAAATCGACAGCGCCATACCCTGCAGAAGTTTACTGAGAATTCAAACCGGATCTGGACGTTGGTTTTAGGACTTACCACAAACATGGAGCACAAGAGTAAAATCAGCAGGACGGTGTGTCGGAGAATTTGGGGTTCATGAGACTCGGGTTCCTCCTCGATCAGCTCCAAATCGTCGTCGATTTGTTCCTGGTACTGCCGTACGATACCCTGACAGGTTTCTCTCTTGGGGCCCCCGCATCCAAAGCGGGACGGGCAAAAACCGTCCCTCGACGGACTGAGACTAGAAATTCATTTTAATGTGTTTGAACAATAATAATTTTCTTTCAAATTCACATAGTCCAGTTACTCAGGGTTTTTACCTCCAAATTCTTTATAATTGAACCAACTGACTTGAAATTTTGACTGAACACCTTCTTGGGGGTGGAAATTTTTACGCCCAAAATAACCACAGAAATCGATAGAGGAGTCAATTTTAAGTAACAAATGTTATATAAAGTTTTTTGGATAATCCAATATTTTCCGAGTAATTCGTCATTGAAAATGTTTTTTTTTTTTTACTGAAAAAGTGCTTGTTTTCGGACAGTTTTTTGCAAATAACTCTGAAACCATTGGATTTAACGAAAAAGTTGTAATGAACAAAAAGAAAGGTAATAAAAAACAAATCTAATGGCATTATTTTGTTTTTCTCTAATTGCAATATAAACCGAGTTATGGCTTTTTAAACATTATTATATGTTAGCTAAAAACTAAATTGGAACCAGTTAACGTTAAATAACGCCAAAATCATAAATATTAGGAAAAAAACTATTTGAACCTTTTTTAAAGTACTCTAAAAAACCTTTAAAATGAGCTGTTTTAAAAGTCTAGAATCAAAATTAACGGAAATATGATCGAAATAACACGAGTCTCATTTTTTTTTAAGAAAAAATGAATAAACAAATCAGTGCCTTTGGCGACAGAATTGAAATTAAATGCAATCCATTAACAGATTTCTTCATTTATGTTCTAAGAATATGTTCTGGGTCTTTGGCTCACTTACAAAGCATGATTTCGAAAAAAAACTTAATTTTTTTACATGTTAATTTTTCAAATTTTTGAAAAAAATTCGATTTTTAAGCTGTAACTTAAAGATTAAAGGGTGTACGAAAAAAATACAAGAGTAAAAAAATGTAGCTTTATTTTTGCTGAACATTTTGCTTTATTTTTTATTCCCCTAAAATTAATATTAATCGAGATATCGCCATTTCAAGTTATCATATGAATGAGAGAACCACCCTTTTTGATCCCTTTAAACCCTTCAAACTTAAAAATTAAGGGCTTAAAAAAGATCAACTCAACAGTTCATGTGGACCCTACATTTCCCTGCAAAAGGGGACCAACATTGTGTCTCTAAAAAATCAAGGCTAACACGATTAGTTTTCGAAATATTTGAAGAAAAACCAGAATTTTGGAAATCCGTTTTTGTTTCAGCTTTGTTTGAGGTGATATTGAAAAAAGAAGAACACTTTCTCATGGCCACTTTTTGCCCTCTATCGAATGGCATAAGCAATTTTTATATGTAACGTTTCGTGTCTCCAGTACCATCATCAACTTAATTTTTTTAAATATGACCCTGTAAATTTTATTACATTTTTTGCAAGCTTTCATGACCCCCAATACTGTACTGCCTCAGCCCGAACCAGATTCAGACGTTTTGTCTCGAAAAATTCATCTTCAGCGTATTTGTTCCAAATTTATCTAATTATTATTATTGAATTATCGTACACCCTAAGTGTCGTTAGACCCTGTGAAATTTATCTAGTTATTTAAAGTATTAATTAATAAGATTTGAAAAGTTGCAATCAATTCAAAATTATTTTATAAGAAGGGAATAAATGTTTATTTAATACGAATGCACATTTAAAATGTATCTATTCTTTCAATAATATTTTTTCCATTTTATTTTCGAAAGAAGGGGTATTTTTCGAGGGTTGAAAAGTTGCAATCGATAAAAAAGATTTTTTAATCAAGAAATCAATTTTAATTTGATAAAAATGCATGACTAAAACGTTTCAAGTTGAAAAAAAATTTTTTTCATCCAAAGGGCTGGTTTTTAATGTTTTTTCCGGGTTGAAAATTTGGGATACATTAAGTTTCATGTTAGATAGCACATGAATTTACTCATACTGCATAAATAAAAAAAATTTGATTACATAAAATGCTTAAATTTGTATTTTTTCTTTTTTTCCAATTAGGGGTGTTTTTAATACTTAAGAACAAAAAGCACACCTAGCGTATATATAAGTTTTGAAGTGGAGGTGTAAGAAGAGCCTAATTCTAAATTTTGAGAAAAATCAATGCAGTTATAAAAAATTCGGAGGTATTACTATATTTTCAGCTACAGCAACTGGGCTAACATACCTATCGTCGGGAGAGGCAGCTATAAAACTCTTGAAATCCCCGTCTCTCTCCTTAGCGGCCTTATCCGCTAGAAGATCTTCGATATCCGTCACGGGGCTCTCCTTATCTTCACAACACCCCTCCGTTATCGTGGGCAGACTGCGACATTTCTGGGCTTTGACAGAACCGACTCCGCTATCCGAACTGGTGCTCGGATTCGGACTAATCACTGCTGTATCAGTCGTCGTTTCGGCCTCGGGAGTGGACTGAGACGGCTCCTGGTCAGACGCCACGTCATTCGCTAGGTCTAGGTAGCGCGAAAAACGCCGCCTGTATCTCTGGTGGAGGATGAGACAACCTACGGTGACTGCGAAAGAAATTTATATGTTTAAAGCGCCCAATACTTTGCGATCGCGTCAAACTCACCGATAAAGCACAGAACTAGCAGCGAGACAGACATGATCGCTTGTGAGGCGCCGTATATGAAATTCGGATTCCTGTCGTCCGAACGCACAGTCGCCTCCTTGTCGAATATCAGAAGTAGAGCCGCTAGAGACAAGGGCAATCTGAAAAGTATGCATTACGACAAAAAAAATTAAAAAATTCGTTTTCCCATTACCCCCAGCCTATCAACACAAACACCGGTTGCAGTTTTAAGATGTAGCAAAGGCTTCGGCACTGCAGGAACAACAACGTAACCGCTAAGATGGTCGTCCACAGCCTAGAACTGTACACGCCGACGGCGAAGAGTGAAAACTGGACATACCCCGCCCAACCCGCTTTCTGGCTCAGTGTGTTCCACAGAATAGCGCCAATGCAGCTTATCAACTGAAATAACAGTTCGTTATCGGTTTATTTTTAACATATAGACCGATCGAAATAACTCATTTATAGGAGAAAAAAAAAAAAATTGTTACCTGGACTTTTATAAGTGGAAATGGTAAAGGGGCTTATAATAAACGTAAAAAAAATAAATGCGTGAGCAAGGGCGGCGGAGGGTTGATTTGGGGGGTTGAAAAGGGGTGAAAAATGGTATCATTGAGATTTCTGGCGAAAGTTGATGTCAAACAAAAAAGTATCCAACACAAAAGTTATAGATCATGAGAAAATCTACAACTCTTGTAAAAGGCACTTTTGAAGATAACCTCAAAATTTCCGAGAAAAATGCGAAAAACAGGTTTTTTTCTTTTTTTTCGTTTTTTATTTCTCATTTCCGCAAAAATAATTTAATTTTGACGAAACTTGGTGAAAGTATACTTTCCTGTGTCTTAAATAACCACAATTTTTTTTAGATAAAAAAATCAAGAAGTTTCCGAGATATTCATATTTTCCGGTCTGAAACACTTTTTTTTCAAAGAAAAATTCTACTTAAAAAAATCATCGTACAGAGTTCTGCCGGTAATCATTTTTTTCGTTTTGACATATACTTTTTGGTGAAATAAAAAAAATTGGAATCGCAGTTCAAAAACATGCTCAAAAATGCAAAAAAGAAAAATGACTCTTGCAGAAATGAGTTTTTCAGTAATTATTGTTGATAGTTTGTTTAAATTTAAAGAAAATTCAAAAACTGATTACACCATTCGATTGTACGGAAAAAATACAAAAGAAACTGTGTCTCATTGTTTGACCCGAAATTTTATTTTTGTACAGTATTGCTATAAACATAATATTTTTTTTCGTAGGATCGATTAATGTACTTATTTTTTTTAACTTTGAATTGAATTCATAGATGTATAAGCGACTCTTTAATTAAATTATGTAAAATTCAGATTTTTGCTTTCAAAATTTAAAAAATATTTACAAAGGATATTTACAGTTAATAATACTAGGCGAATCTTGGTCTTTTTGGCAGCCTTTTAACTTGAACTTCATCGTCCGATCCTTCATTAGAACCCAGTCTTCCTGTTCTTCAAACGTTTCTTTGATATCACTTAATTCTTCGTTTAATTGATCTTCCGGGTTCAAGCAAAGACTGGGCTTCTCAATTTCATGTGAAATGTCTTCGGAATCACTGAAATTTTCCGAAATTTTGTCAACGTTCAAACAATTGTCCGAACCATGACATTTTGTACATAAATCTGTACATCGCACTCCATGTTTTCGACACCCGCATCTATTACCGTTGGTAAAACCTTTTTATGAGACTAATGCAGAATCAAAAGTCATTGTTCGAAATGGTTGTAAATTAATTTCGTCTATTTACAAATGCACAAATGATAAATTATCTCTGGATGATTTGAGATTTCAGCAATACAAAGTATTAACTGCAAAGTCTACTTTTAAATTAGAAAAATTACCACCAACTGTCGGAGCAGCTACACAACACTCCTATAGAGCATACTTTCAGCTTCAGACGTGGCTTGGAAACAAAATAACTGCAACCAAGTGGGGCTGGAAAGAAGTAATTGCGAATAATTCCAAAATACTCATGCCTCGCTTTACAGAAGTTTCAGTCGTTCCTGAAGATTTAATAAAAACAATCTCTTGCAGCTGCGAAACCAGTTGTGACGGTAATAGATGCGGGTGTCGAAAACATGGACTGCGATGTACAGATTTATGTACAAAATGTCATGGTTCGGACAATTGTTTGAACCTTGACAAAATTTCAGAAAATTTCAGTGATTCCGAAGACATTTCAAATGAAATCGAGCAGCCCAGTCTTTGCTTGAACCCGGAAGATCAATTAACCGAAGAATTAAGTGATATCGAAGAAACGTTTGAAGATCAGGAAGAAACCCAGTTTAATGAAGGATAGGACGATGAAGATCAATTTAAAAAGTTGCCAAAAAGACCAAGATTCGCCTAGTATTATTAACTGTAAATATCCTTTGTAAATATTTTTTAAATTTTGAAAGCAAAAATCTGAATTTTACATAATTTAATTAAAGAGTCGCTTATACATCTATGAATTCAATTCAAAGTTAAAAAAAATAAGTACATTAATCGATCCTACGAAAAAAAAATATTATGTTTATAGCAATACTGTACAAAAATAAAATTTCGGGTCAAACAATGAGACACAGTTTCTTTTGTATTTTTTCCGTACAATCGAATGGTGTAATCAGTTTTTGAATTTTCTTTAAATTTAAACAAACTATCAACAATAATTACTGAAAAACTCATTTCTGCAAGAGTCATTTTTCTTTTTTGCATTTTTGAGCATGTTTTTGAAGTGCGATTCCAATTTTTTTTATTTCACCAAAAAGTATATGTCAAAACGAAAAAAATGATTACCGGCAGAACTCTGTACGATGATTTTTTTAAGTAGAATTTTTCTTCGAAAAAAAAGTGTTTCGGACCGGAAAATATGAATATCTCGGAAACTTCTTGATTTTTTTATCTAAAAAAAATTGTGGTTATTTAAGACACAGGATAGTATACTTTCACCAAGTTTCGTCAAAATTAAATTATTTTTGCGGAAATGAGAAATAAAAAACGAAAAAAAAAGAAAAAAACCTGTTTTTCGCATTTTTCTCGGAAATTTTGAGGTTATCTTCAAAAGTGCCCTTTACAAGAGTTGTAGATTTTTTCATGATCTATAAGTTTTGTATTGGATACTTTTTTGTTTGACATCAACTTTCGCCAGAAATCTCAATGATACCATTTTTCACCCCTCTTCGACCCCCCAAATCAACCCTCCGCCACCCCTGCTCACGCATTTATTTTTTTTACGTTTATTATAAGCCCCTTTACCATTTCCACTTATAAAAGTCCAGGTAACAATTTTTTTTTCTCTAAGTGTAATTTGGTTGGACTAATAACTAAAGCAAAGTTATATTTTTTTAAAGTTAAACGCACCTGAGACACAACTAAACAGGCCGTGATCTTGTGGGGTATTCTAAAGATTTTCTTAGTCAAAATGAAGACTAAGATGACCCAGACACAAGCGATCAAGCCGATGATGCTCACGTCCAAAGTGAAAGCATCCAACTGTTTAATGTATTCCGACGGATTGCAATTTGTAATCGTTATCATTTTGGCCGAAACAAACATCAAAGGAGCACTGACGAAAGTGCACACGACCATAGCGCTAGCGATCTGAAAAATAACAGTAAAATAACGACTTGAATACTACAGTAGTACGCATAAGTACCAGATCTACGTCTATCACGTATTGCGTAGCAAATACGAATACTGTAGGAGCGGATGGAAAGGTGCCGTACAAAAATCCATACGTGCTGAGGTCAACGGTTTCAGATTTGTTGAAACCGGCATGAATGATGCTTATCACCTCTCGGGTTACCAGCGGCAAGGCAAGTCTAGAAATAACGTAGTTATATTACAGTGAAAGTACTTGAAATTGTACCTACAGCTTGACCATTATGAGGATTCCAGGAAGGACCAACGTGGCACCCCGTAATTTGTGCACTTTTCCCACCATCCTTAACCCCAGCAAGAACAAGGCGCTCGCCGAAAAAGCGGACCCTAGAACCTACAGGAAAGCATTTGTCGCTACTGTTAGTTCGTTAATAATCCACCGGATCTTACCTCCAAAGTTCCTTTCAAGTAAAGGGGCACTTTGTGCCTAAAAATAAAGTTGCCCAACACCCCTAAAATAGTCATCAGTATAATGGGGTTGAAGAAAATACTTTTTGCCACAGACAAGACCAGTCTGAATCGTTCGTTGTGGATAGAACGAGTATTAGGCAGCTCCCCATCATTTATAAGCAGTTCCTCGGAATTGTGGACAGCACGTCGTTTGCCAATTTCCATTAAAACAAACGCGATAGGGTTGAGAATAGCAAGACTTATCGGAGCCATCAGGTAGAGGTAATTTGCATATTCAGGATGTGTAGTTTTATATAAAGCGGCAACTAGAAAACATACGAGGTAAGTTACAACTTTTCATATGTCTTCCTACATACCAATAGGGTACCCAATGGCAAAATCATTGCTCTGTGTGCAGAAAATGGCAAAGATACCGGCTCTTCCAAACTTCAGAGGCCTGCCGACTAGTAGTGTTATTACTATCACAGAAAAGAATATAATACTTTTCGATACAAGTATCGATAACAGGAACAACCAATTCACTTGGCTCAATTCGAGCTCAGCCAAAGACATGAATATGAGCGAGGGCAGGGAAAATGTGCCCACAAAGGTATTGATACCTTTCGCTTCTGTCTCCGAGATCAGGTTCATTCGACCAGCGGAATAACTGAAATGGAATTTAATTAAGGCATATTCGTTTGGGGTGTTGAATCAGCGCACTTACCCGCATATTATTATAACAAAACATTGTGCTAGGGCCGGGTACAAATTTTCCATAGAAGCACCCGTAGGGTCTTGCTCCATCGTTAAGTTATACATAGTTCTCGATACTATGTAAATATTGTTTACATGTTTGAATGGAATATCGTACGTCCTGCAACATTATTTGATAACGTATTCAATATGATGTAACTATGTTTAATGGAATCATTTATACAGTTTAAAGACTTGACCAAAAAAATCTGTTGAGTAATTCTCAGCAAAAAATCGATATCACAGCAACGATACCGATATTTTTTATAAATAGCAGTTTTATCAAGTACTTTGTTATCTTTTTAATAAAGGCCAACAGATGTTGAATAATTAATATAATTTTTGTTGAGATTTTTTTTATTTAGATTATCTATTTTTTATTTCCTTTCTCCCTCACACACTCACACATGACATGACAGAAGTCACGTAGTATGACAATTATTATTATTATTGACATTTTAACAACGTATGTCAAACCACAGAACAGAGATGTAATCTATGGGAACCGGCACGTACCAATACTACCAATCGTACCATTGAACTCTGAACACAATAAGAATATCATATATGTAATACTACTATATTGCGCTATTCGAGTTGTTCTTGAAGCCGGGTTGTGAGATGAAATTATATATGTTGTTCTCTTTCATGGACAAACACTCGTTTGCGCATGCCCAAGTTTATGTCCAATCTAATCCAAGAATTTGAATTTGGCGCTAAGGGGAAGAAGGAGAAAAAAAGACAAAAGCAAAAGACTGACTTTTCTTTTGTGGTTATGTTGTTCGGATTGTAGCTTTGTCGCAGATTCTTTGTTAGCATTTATATCTATATCTTTTAATCTTTTGTAGTTTATGTGTAGTGTTGGCGATTTCAGAATTGTTTTTAGTGCAATTTATAGTTTTAGTTTTATTTATAGATTAGAGACATTTAGTGCAACTGAAAGGGCAGGNCTACTGTTTTTAAGATTTGTTAATTGTGATTTATGGTGCGATTCTGTTCATTTGTCATTTTAAAATTTCTGTTTAAATAGTTTGTGATGTTTTATGCTTTAGAGCGTGTGACTTTTAAAATAAAAGGTAAGTTGTTTCAAAATTTAAATGTGTATATAAAGAAATGGAATCCTCCCTAATAATAAAAGGTGGTTAAAATTTAGGTTGCTCTATTTCTGCAAGAAGAAACGCATCTACAATTTTGGCAAATTTGATTCTCTAACACAAGAATTCATTTTTTAATTTTATTTATTATAAATAAAATATGTAACATAAAGAATATAAAAAGCCTTAAATTTATTGTATTTGGTTTGGGACAAAATTCCCGCGGTATTCTGCGCATGCGTATTTGGCATTTTGTCCGTGAAAGAGATAATAGATATAGTTCTAGTTCACTCTAATTTGGCTTCACAAGTGAAACATGGTAAAGATTACATACACTCCATATAGTAGTATTATATATATGAAGAATATTAAGATACATGTTCATTCTGATTTTTCGAAGAGTATGGCGCGGCATCTATAGTCAACAGAACATGTTAAAATTGCCGAAAAAAAGTATTCTTATTAGAGGAAAACTGACATTATCCTGTTTCGTTTTTATGACGCTAGTTGAGGTTACAAATACAATTCCTGAATTTTAGTGAGCGACGAAACCACTGATGAATTGTTTGTAAAATCGTGGTGATATTGTGATGTCAGAAATATGAAAGCGTAATACCGTTTTCCTTCTTTGTCTGCGGTGACGGCACAGACACAGACCGCTACTAGCATAGAAGCGATCGAGGAACGCTGCTTCTGTGTTCTCGAAAGTCAAAATGACGGCTCGAAGGGGAATTACCCAATTACCGATCGCTTGTACTTTACCACGGTGGAATATACCAAGAAAACAATTGTAACGCATCTTAGTGGGTAGAACTACGTAAGTATATGGTTATATTTATTGCGACACGTGCGAGTTAACCTATTTTTCAGATAATCACGCTGAAATATGGACTTAAAAAAATTAACCTGGGACAAATACGAGTCTTTATTTTATGCCCCTGCCGGGGAAGTAACGAATTCCAAAACCTGCGAGCTGTTGGGGTACAAAGGAGGTATACCCGTGTTGACTAACAAAACTGTATTAGAAGCCAATAAACCACCTACGAACTCTTCTATAAATAAAGTAAGTGCCAAACAGATTTTAAGAGTAGAAACAGACTCAAAAACTGGGGAGAAATTCATCAACTTAAATGGCAAAAAGCTCAGGATGGTGGCAGAGCCACAACTCTCCTCCCAATTCAAGCAAAACCCACAGGTGATAAAAGCAAGCACTTGCGGTGACAAAAAGCCAGTGAAGGTCAAGATAATTGGCAGCATGCCCTCCATCCTGCACGGTCCCTCTAGATTGGTGAAAAAGGGCACATGCCAAGTTACTGATATTGCCAGTTCAAAACCCAGTGTAAACAAAACTGATAACACCACTCAGATAACTCAACCAGTGATAAACGTACCAGTAAAAATCCCCAGTACTGACAAGGTTATAAGTGGGAACAGTACAGCTGTTTGCAGCAACACAGTGAACAGTGACCACCAAGCAGCTGTGACTCCCACCCAGGAGAATGGTAGGTGTTTGAAGTACAAACACAGCTTAATTATTTATAGTGATGGTTTACTGAAATCCCCTAACGGCGTGTTGAAAATGAATCCCCTAGATCTATCCAAAGTCAACAAACCTGACTGTGTCAAGGTTGATGTGAAAAAAGTAGATAGTAGTGTGCAGGCTACAGTTAAAACAGTCGATGAAAGTGTTCAGACAGAGGATGAGGATGATCTGTTCAACATTTTGAACCTTGACTTTTTGGAATACTTGAGTTCAAACGCCCCGACAACTATGACTCCTAAGGCTGCCCCGGTGGTAGTTAGCCGCCCCGAGCCCGCCAAGGCGCACAGCGAGAAGTTTCAAATGTTCTTTCAGGACCTGAGGCGGGCCATGATTCCGGATATGGACGGGAATAGGTAAGTTTATCCTTTATTTTGTTAGTATTAAATTTATTTGACTTAGGGCTTGTGGCTGGTGGTAATAGTAATAGAAAATTAGTTTCATAAAGAAATTTACTTGTTATCCACGTAGATATGAAAGAATTACTCGTTGGTATCACCCTTTTTATATGTTCCAGGAAAATTAAACCTTTTTATAGTGTTACTATTTCATTACACAATTTTTTAATACAGACCTGGATATTCATCCACTATTTGTATATTCTTTATCTGTTTTTTAAATTTTTTCAATTATTTCTTCCTTTATCACACACTTTTGGATGATCATTTACATTGCATGTCATTCCTATGATTCATACGCATTTATAATAAAACTGAAAACTCACTCCATTACCTAATGCTTTTAATTTTAGAAATGTCACTACTAAGAGTGATCATTTGGGTGAAATAACTCTCCCAAGGCCAAATTAAGGAAAATTAAGTTATTAAAAACAAACTGAGAGAAGCATACAATATTTTTTAATACTTTGGTTGCTAAATGCTAATTTAAAAATCATAAAATCAATCTAATGAACTTTTAATTGAACAGCTTTTAAGGAAAATTATTTTTAAATATATTTTTATAATGATCTCTTTGTTTTGCATGTCTTAAATCTATAAACCAAGTACTATGGGAACTTTGACCTTTGAAACTGCGTTTATTTTCAATTAGAGATTAATGGCACGCGTAACATATTGTGTGGAACTGGGGGAACCCCAGAGCTACAGGTTTTGCTGTGAAAACTGGTATCGAGTTATTTATAGACGGCATGTGTTCATGCTCGCATAGAATTAATCTGATAGCGCTGACTAGCTTAGTTATTAGAAGGGGAATAGGAAATTTCAATGTACGCATAAAAATTGTTGTTACATATATCTAATCGGAATAATATTTTTTGTTAATGTAATTTATGAATGCAACTCAAATCGCGTTTCTATTGTGACGTTCGAATAATTAATTAAATCAATGATAGTTATTTACGACCTGATTGTAAAGATACAGGAAACCGTTGAGTGGTTTAAATTTTTTGCATAGTTTGGAACTGTCTCATACGGTGAATAAATATTAAGCAATTTAATAATTCTTGGTAATCGGTAGGTACAACTGTTTCTAGTGAACTAAGGTTCCACGTAATTCATATAATAAACCCCCTTTAAACGTTGTGATGAGTCAGGAAAGGGTTCTTGGAACCGTTTCCAAATGTGGTGCAATAAATACCACAATTTTCTTAGCTAGTCAGCATTTAACTCTTGAGTGATATGAATCTACAAGATAGGTGGAAAATAATCTTGCAACTTTCAAATCTGTTTGGCCCAAAGAGCAGTAAGTTTAAAAAAAAACGAACATTCATTTCATTCCATTCAAAATATAGGATTCATTTCAATGAAGATTTGTTTCTGGGCCAAATATTACGGGCATTGAATTTAATAGACATTTGCCGTTGTTTTTTATATACAGGGTGTTGAATTTAAAAAAAATCCTATAAGTACCTTTAAATATATTCTGAACAAATGAAGAAATTTTGTGTGCACGTAGGTACTTTAATAAAAAAATTACATACAACATGATAAAATTGAATCTCAATGTAAAAACCAGTGGCTTACATATGAGGTTATCTTTTCCTCAAAAGTTATGACACGCCACTGTAAAAAAATGCTTCTGAAATGTATTTTTTTACAGAGAACGTCATTTGACTTGTTTACATAGGTTTTACTGTTTTTGTATAAATTAACAATTTTTAATGATTTTAGGTGAATTTAAAATTATACAGGGTATTGCACAACAAAGTGTTAAAAAATAGAGATACACAGAGACACTCATTAAAAATCACAGAATTTCGACACAGAATTTTGGAAACATATGTTCATTTGCTTCGCAATAATTGCATTTCAAAGGAATGGAAAAAATTAAGGAAACAAAAAATTTCATAATATTTTTACTAATTTCTTTACACTTTCTTCATATTGATGTCGAAGACAATAAATAATTTTTTTTCTTTGCAAACCACGTAAGGTCCTTGTAGAAAGTTTATTCAGGTTTTCAAAATCACCCTTGAATTTACTGTGCAATAATTTTTTCTGAGATATCAATGATTTTGTAGACGAAAGTGTCATTTTTCATTCAATCGTCGATATCTCAGCAACCGATGGTTGTACAGAGACCTTTCAAAAAGCCAATTGAATCTGAGTAAACAAACCAACTGACCTCTGCATTGATCAAGTACAAAAAAATTTTTCTGCGTTCGTATAGTCCTAAAAAAAAAAATTGGGAAATTTTTCCTCGAGGTATATCTTTTGATTGCACGATAACTGTAGCCCAAAAAAATTTTTTGTGAAAAGATCTTGAAACTAGACTTACAGCTTCAAAAGGGTTTTTTTTTGTCTCCACGACCATTTTTCACCGAGATACAGCTTTTCAAGTCACTTAAGAAATTTATAAAAAAATTTTGTTCCCTTAATTTGTTCCAGTAGTTTACAAATAATTTCATAACTTTCATTTCACAAAGAAAGTGTCTAGGATTTATTAATAAATTTTTGAAAATAGAAATTTACCTCTTGCTTTAAAATTTTTAATTTTTTTTAATGTTCTATAAATGTTTTTTGTGAAATGAACAGTTTTATAGTGATTTTCTACGTATTCCAATGCTTATAGTATACTAAAAGAATATTACCTGTAAAATTATGTATTTTACAATTAAAATAGTTATTAATTAATTTTCTTTGAAATGTAATTGTGATTCGAAAGAAAATTTCCAAAATGCTTGTGTCAACAAAATTCTAGGATTCTGATAGCATCATCTTTGTAAATTGCATATTTGTACGAAAACAATAAAAGCTTTGCAAAAACACATATTTAAAATACATTAACAATAAAATTACAAAAAAAGAAAAATATTCAGCAGTACATTTTTCATATGTACCCCATCCGTTTGAGCTGACATACTCTTTTCACATTTTATTCATGTACTGAGTATACAAAATTTCATTTCAACATCACTATTTGTTCAGGAGACATTTGGAGATACGTATGTACAACTTTTTTTTTAGACCATAACACCCTGTATCTCAAAAACAAAGGCTTCAAAGACAAGTGTACATGCAATTCTTGAATTTAGTTGAGGAAAAATCCATCATTCCATAATTTACTTTCAACAAAATTCAATATTTATGGCTTTAAATTAAAAAAGTTGATTTTGGGATTTTAAAACAAACTGATTCTTACAGGCCAATTCATGTGGGGGTTTTGACTAATGACGTCAGTTTCGTTAAAAGAAGCTGCAGCATCCTGAAGGCCTTGCAAACGTCAGTCGACGTTTTGAATCACGGAGACCTGGTAAGTATCGTAACAGAAAATTATGGTTTTTTGCTTTTTGTGATATTTCCCCAGCAAGCTTGCAAGAAAACCCAACCGAATTATTTGTCATAAATGGAAATATTTTACAACTATTTATAAATTGGTACTTAAAAAGTTTATAATAAAGTAATTGCATATCCGTAAGGCTTGCGGTACTTTACAGCAAACCTTGTTCAACAGAAAAAAACTATTTGCTTACATAATCAAAAACAAATAAGTGCTGTTTGATCTGGGTATCGAGATATTAGGCAATTTGTTTGTCGAGTGGTATCAGTTTCATAAAACATTTCGTCATTAAAATGTTTTTGGAACTCATTTGTTTAATATTCTAAACCAAAGCAGTCGAACACCATATTAACATTTGGCTCTAGTAAGCTGTGATTTTCAAGGAATGCCTTGATCGTGTCATCCAAACAGTTGCAAGAACTTTCCTGGTAGATCCGCAACTGTTTTCATGGCTTGCTTTGCGAAAATGTAATGTTTTTTTCGACAACAAGGGAAATACAGCTGCATTTTCTGATATGCACGACCAAAATATTTGACGAACAGGATGTGGTTGTGTTCTTAATAAAATTCGGATAAAACTTTTTATTCCACGTTGAAAACCTTCGGATTTGTTTGCTTTTCATAATCGGATTAGGAGTAAAAATCTGTCCAGTTATTTATAGAAACTTTTTTTGAAGTAGCGATATTCGGTGGTTCCCAGAAAGCGCCCGGTAATTATCTATAAGAAAATTCTATTTTCGCTTATCAGAATACAAACATCGCTTGGTTAGCTGATTTTTTGAAATAAATTTCCTTTTAATAGTTATCACTGCAAGTACGTTACGGAAGGTTTCCCGGAAGAGCTTGTGGTTACACGTTTGTATTGAAACTGGGATTACCAAAAACGATTTTCGTTTCATAGAATTGATTTCGTGCAAAACAATTAACTTCACCAAAATTGGGGAATTTAAGTGAAAAGCAATGTGCCGATATTTAATTTTCTCTTATCAAACTATTAAATTGAATTCAACTAGTTTTCTTAGACGTTTATCAGCACCTTTGACGTTATCAAAGTTAATGTACTCTGAGGTATGTTTGTAAAATTTGTGGGTTTCCCATGTTACTTATACAACGGACATTTTTTCCTGCTAAAAGACAATCAATTTCCAAGAATGGTTTGTAGTGGTTGTCTTATCTTTTCTACGTTTATAGATTTTTACAACTGGAGTAATTATCAGTAATTTCTTTTTATTATAACGATTGATATTAACGAAACAAACACAACAATTTTTTTTTAATATAGCATTTATTTTTGTCCTCAGTTTTGCGAAAAACGAATTGTATTTGTTTCAAATAATAATTTCAAAAATTTCATAGGATTAAAATTATTTTATTAGTCCTATTAGTTTTTTTATTGATTGTTTTTACCTTTTTGCGTGTTAAGGAAAGCCTGTTGAGCTCAGCATCACTTTTATCAGGTGATGTATGGATTATTGACAATGTATTAATCTTGATAAATATATAAATAATAAAAAAAAAATTCCCGGCCTCTCATAAAGCTTAATCTTTAATTTTTCTTATCTGGGAAATACCTCATGACGTAGATTTGTATGTTATTGATTGTACTCACTTAGCCTTGAAATCATACTTAGCGCCTTTATCACTGATCGTAAAAATTGATGTTTTTGATAACACGTGCTTAAACATTGTATCTTTTATTTGAATTGGAAAAAAACCAGGCGTCGTAGACGATTTTCGAAGATTTTGTAATCCATTGTAAGCACATAGAAATATTTGTTTTTGTTGAGGAATGGTCCTGGAATGTAAACAAAGTTTCCAGGACTCTTAAATATGAGATGTTTTTTTGTGAATGTAGTAATATCTATTGTTCCTCACAAATGTTTTTCTTCGTTCGTTATTATTTATGAAAAACAGCAAAAAATCAATATAAGCTTACTATATTCTACATACCAAAACAGAGAGTTGAATTTTCCTTAGAAATGTTTCCTATTCAGGTACATTAAATAGTACAAATATGGATAGCCGGATTCATTGCGCATAACTTTTGTTATTGACATTTTGTTCTATTTCTCGACAAAAAAGGTGGGGGAAGCCCCTAATGTCTGATCAGAAAAATGCATTTTTTTAAGGATTGGCTCATCAAAAGACAAAGAAAAGTGTTGGAAAGGTCTTTTTCATGCTTTATCTCGTGGTGAATGTGTAATGTCATTTACCTCGATATGGAAACCTGTAGATGGCGTTATTTCAAAAGAATGCCGTTTTATGGATTTTTCTCAAAAATTTAAAATGCAATGCTATAGTTTTCTTTACATAAATGAAGGACTGCTAATTTACAAGTAATAAATTTAGCACACTCGTGAGCTGTTGCCAAGTTTTTGTTGCAACTTTTGGCATTGGTTTATGCATATATATATATATATATATATATGGT